TTCTGTGGAAACAAAAGCAGAACCTCTTTTCCAAAGTAACATTTTTTTAGACTCAAATTTTGAAGTCAAGATACCTTTATGTTGGTTTAGCTTAGCAGCCACCACAATCAAATGTCTCTCTGCAGTTAGCTCATTAACAAGCAAAAATTCAAAGAAAACACAAATATATATATTCTCTGTGTATATTCCACCTTTGCATGGCACATTTTTTACTCTCTTTACTACTTTAATATATGACTATCTATACTCTTTTATATTACTTTTAAAACTATTTCTTTCTATAATTGCCTATAGTCATTTTTTTCTTTTTTTTCTTAAGCCTACATATATTTATTTAAACATACTATGATCAGTTCAGAGGTTTATTTCTGTCTGAATGTGTCTTTATTGAGTATCTGTAACCCTTTTTTGATCACTGTTGTAAACTGTTAAGCAGGCATGGCTAGGACCAGAGCAGCCATTTTAACTGTTGGTTCCAAGCTGCTTAGCTTTACAACATGGCAGAGGTCCATTTACCACCAGCTCTGAAAGCCATGTTTACCACCCCAACTCTAGAAAACAATGGGCCCATGCTGCTACCAAATAACTTGCAACAAGCTACCCACAAACCCCATTCAAGAAAGACCTCCTGAAAGATCCAGAACAATTTATGCTACCAGAATGAACCAGAAAGTCATTTCTTAGAGAAACCATGCAGGTTTTGCTGCTAATACAGAGTCAGAAAGTCGTTTCTTAAAGGACTCATGCCTCTGCTCATGACCAGCAAACAAAGCCAATCTGGAAAAAAAAATGTGGCTAGCAAGAAACTCCAATTGACTCCGATTTTGTGGATCTAGAAGCCACTTTTTCAAGATTTCTTATGCTTTATGTGGATGTATGCTTCCAAACATTGGGTGCCATTTGTAAACGGAGACTGCTTTTTGGTTTCCCAGTCACTAAGAACCGAATAATCACACAAAACTACATTAATTATAATACAGTTTAGCATACAGAGGGGAATCCCACATCAAGGTGATATCTGTCCTTGATGCTGAAGTGTGTTCCTTCAAGGCAGCAGGAAGATAGATAGATAGATAGATCCTGTTTTATAATCTAACATGTTAATTACTGGGGAACTTGAGATCTTTAATATTGAGAGTTATTATTGGACAGTGTTTAGTAATCCCTGTTATTTGTTGTGATGTTGCTGTTTTCGTATATCTCTTTTGATTAACTGTTCTGAAATTGCTTATATTCACTATGACTTCTTGAGTGTGTTTGTCCTTTACTTTAGACTGGTGATGTAGGAGTGTCATATATCAATCTGTTGATTTCGTTGGTTAATTAATAAAGAAACTGCTTGGCCTGATAGGTTAGAACACAGGTGGGTGGAGTAAACAGAACAGAATGCTGGGAAGAAGGGAAGTTAGGCAGATGCCATGGCTCTCCTCTCCAGGCACACGCCATAGCTCTCCTCTCCAAGATGGATGCAGGTTAAGAATATTCCCGGTAAGACACACATCACCTCATGGTGCTACACTCATTAGAAATGGGTTAGTCAAGATGTGAGAGTTAGCCAAGAAGAGGCTAGATATAATGGGCCAAGCAGTGTTTAAAAGAATATAATTTTTGTGTTGTTATTTCCGGGGCTAAGCTAGCCATCCAGGAGCTGGGCAGGATGAAAAGCAGGCCTGCCCACAGCTCCTTCAACAGACTGGCATATTCTTCCCAGTGAACTCTATAGAACTTGTTTAGTGGTCACAAATTCCTCTAATCTATTTTTATTATGGTAAGGCTTTATTTTTCCTTAAATTTTAATTGATAGTTTTGCTGAATATGATAGTCTGTGTTGACAATTTTGGTCTTTCAGAACTTGGAATACATGTTTGCAGGCTTGTCTGGCATTAAAGTTTATGTGAAGTGGTTTATTTTGGTGGACCTGTTTTTATAAGTGATCTAACAATTTCTTCTTGCAGCTTTCAATGCCATTTCTTTAGACTGTATTTTTATATTTAGCATTAACAATTTCTTGGGGGCATTTCTTTTCTAGTGTGTTGTATAGGTCCCTTCTACCTGGATGGACATCCCTTTTTCTAAGTTTAGGAAATTTTCTTCTATCATTTTATTAAAAATAGTCACCATGCATTCACTGTGGCATATTTCATTTATACCCATAATTCAAATATTAGATATTTTCAAGGTATTTCAAAGTTCCCCTGTGTTTTGCTTATTTTTAAAATTCTATTGTCCTTTACTGAGTGATAGAGTTCCTCTTCACGCCAACACTGTACCTTCCACATGACCCATTCTTTCAGTAATGGTTTCCAGTGGGATTTTTATTTGACTTACTAAGTTTTTCATTTCCAGCATCATTTCAATTTGGATTTTAACAATTCTTTTCTTTTGGTTAAATTGTATTTTCATATCTTGAATTGACTTCCACATTTCATTCAGTTCTTTGGTTTCCTTAGACTATATGCCAATCCTCTTTGAATTGTTTGAACACAGTTATAATCATTCTTTTGAATTCTTTGTCAGGAAGATCTTCTCAGTCATTTTCATTAGCGTTCATTACTGTGAGATTGGTAATGGTATTTGGGGGTGCTATATTTGCTAATTTTCTGTTGATGTGATAAAACATCATGGCCAAGGCAACTTGATAGATGGAAGGGTTTATTTGGCTTATGTTCCCAGAGTGATAAGGAGCCGGGCGGTGGTGGCACATGCCTTTAATCTCAGCACTTGGGAGGCAGAGGCAGGGGGATCTCTGTGAGTTCGGGACCAGCCTGGTCTACAAGAGCTAGTTCTAGGACAGGCTCCAAAACCACAGAGAAACCCTGTCTCGAAAAACCAAANAAAAAAAAAAAAAAAAAAAAAAAAAAAAAAAGGCCTGTACCAGAGTGATAAGGTTGTCATGGAGAGGAATTGTGACAGCAAGCAAGCGTGATGGCTAGAGCTTGAAGCTGAGAGCTCACATCTTGACCTGCAAGCAGGAGGTAAAGATAGTTAACTCTTTTAAACTCTCAAAGCCTGTCTCAAATGAGGTACTCCCTCCAATGAGGACAAACCTCCTAAACCTACCCAAATAGCCTACTAACAGGGTACTAAATACTCAAATATCTGAGCCTCTCGGGGACATTCTCATTTAAACCACCACAGGGGGACATGTTCTGTTTTTTCATGTTACTTTTGTCTCTGTACTAGAATTTGTGCACCTGAAGTAGTTTGTTAGTTAAATCATTTTTTTTCTTCAAAGCACCTTTCTTGTTTCAGTGTAAGCATATATAACATCCATGAGAGCATTAAGCTATAGAAGGTTGAGGACAGGAGCTCTCAAGAAACAGGGTGTGGTATAGAGGGGTAGGACTTCCCTGGAAATACTGGGAAACACTGGAGGAACAAATTTATAGTGTCAGGAGTAGTGTTCCTAATCTGAACTTTGAGGATAGAAGATTCTTAGGGAGACAGGTGGCCTGGAAGCATGTGGAAGCAAGATCCCAGAAGAGCACAGAGTCCCATGAGGATAAACAAAGTGAAATCTACCCAGTGACTCAGAGAAAGGGATGCTATATAAGTTGGAAGAAGAGACTACTTGGCACGATAGGGAAAGAATGTTTCAGAAGAGCTGGTTGGAATTATAGGATGGGAAGGAGCAGAATCTACTGATGATGTAAGAAAGGGAGTTTCCGTAGTATCCATGTAGTCTGTGGAGTAGAGAATAATAGGCCTACCTGGCTACAATGGTGAAAGAAGTTCTGGTGGAGGAACAGGGCAGGTCTGTAGGAAGAGAGTGAATGGCTCTTCCTGGTAGATACCAGAAAGGGAAGTCCCAGAGGTAGCCAGGCAGGTCCATGGGGTTAGAAATAGTAGGCATACCTGGTGACTCATAGAAGGTAGGTCCCAGAGGAGTTCAGCAGGCCCTGTTTTATTTTGCTTTGTTTTTGAGTCATGGTCTCACTATGTAGACCAATCTGACCTCTAACTTGCTTCTGCCTACTGAGTACTAATAATTACAGGCATGTGATGGCATATGGCCTTAGTAGTGTGTGCTTTTAAATAAAGGGAAGAAAACTTGACTGGGAAGAATGTTTAGGGATAGAGGTTAGCTGAAATGAGTAGGGATTTATGGAGTGGCACTTGATGATCACCTTTACCTCAGGTGGAATGATCTGCCATATCCAATCTATCTAATACCCAAGTAAATGGGCAAAAATGAAGAGTTATAGATGTTTGTACTGTGTCTTAAAAGTATCACATAAGGCTGCAACCTTTTCACAAAATCTTGATCTTAATTATATTCACATTTTTAAAAATCTTGATGTGTTTTTAGAGGAATGGTTATCAAAAGTCTATTGAAGTCAAATCAAGAAACTAAGGAGTCCTCTATCCCTTTCAATGTTAGAAATCAAAGTTTAAGACACAGAGAAAATAAGTGTGATATATAGGTATATATATGAATATAGATAAAGATATAGATATATAGATATAAATATATCAAAAAATGAGGGCAGGAATTAGAGAGGGAGTGAAACAAGGAGAGGGACATGGTAAGATCTGGAGGAAGGAAAGGGGATATAGCGAAATGATGTAATTATATTTTAACAATAAAAAGAAATTAACTATGAATGTATAAATGTGAATTGGTTTGTCTTTGAAGAACTTCCATCCTCTAAAGTAGAAACAAAGTAAACAAAACTAATTCCACATATATGCACATTATTTAGTTATCCTAGACGTTGCATATTTCCTAATTGGGCAGCTATAATTTAAGCTAATTTTTTTTACATTTCACTGCTTTCTTTAGTTTTTGGTTTTGGGTACTATAATATATAGTTGTTGGTAGGAAATATAAGTACCTTATATGGTAGGTGTAAACTCAAAACCAAAACCAGCATAAATAATGAAGCCGATGTAGAAAACCGATCCCAGTGAGTGTTTTTGAAGCCCCCTAACTGAAATAACATGTAAAATACAAAAGAAGACAAACTGAATGACTAACATTATGTCTTTGAAATGTTCAGGTTGAACGACATTTGAAATTGGGATGAAACAGTAAGAAGCTACATCCATGGATAACCAACAAGATAAAGTCATTGCTGCCTCAGCCGATGAAGAAAACAGTCTAATTAATGGGATCAAAGAAAATGGTAAGAGAGTTTAATTGCCATATACATTATTTTTCCTGGTAGTCTTTTTTTTAATTAATGTAGATTTTCAGTATATAAAAACTTGAGACAGGTTGAATCCAAAATATATCAAAAGTTGATGTAAATCTAAACTTGTCAAATCTTTAACCGAGCTAGAAGAATCCCTGAGCGTTCTCAGATAAATCAGCTTGGGCTGTCAAATCCATCTGCTAAATGAAGTTCCTCAAAGTTGCTAGTAAATTACAAGTATGTAATTCACTAGGAACCTCTCTAACATAAGTTTGCAAGTATGGCTATGTGTCTCATAGCTGAAATGATGAATGGCACCCTGTGCCTTTCCCCCTCTGAAAGCTTTGACTTTTCAATTGATCCATCAGTCCAATTCTTTCACCATTTCTGATGGGGCTCTATCTTTTCTTCAAGAAGAATCTGAACCTAAAAATGATTATTTTTCACTTGTATGGATTTTCAGTATTAAATCAGGGTTATTTTATTACTGTTTTGGTGGTGATTCATAAAGCTAGAGGAAAAGGTGATTCATAAAGCTAGAGAATCCAGGTGTTAGAAACTGATTAAGGAAAAGAGACTTAATGAATCTTATCTAAGATCTTTAACTTTATTCATGTTTTTTATTTCCTTTTTCTCTAGACTCAGAGGACCAGGATGTGGCAATGAAGTCATTTGTAGCTCTAGAAGCTACTACACCAGTCCAACCTATACCAGTGGTACAAAAAGAGCCCCCAATGTTTCCTAGGGGTCTCCTACCTCTGCCGCCTAAGAAGCCGTGTGTGCAGAGCCCTCTATCTCCTTTGGGCCTGATGGAAGCACCTGATCATTCAGCTAATAGCGCTTCTGTGAATGCCATCTCCCTCACATCTGGAGTTGCAAAAGGCCTGAACACATGGTCGCTGCCCAGTGAGTGTGAGAAAGCACCATTTGCCATCATGGAGCCCGCAGGCATGTCAGCTCTGAATGGAGACTGCTTCATGCAGCCAAGCCGGACTTGCTTAGGTTGCTTCATGGAGTCAAAAGAAACAGTAGATCCTGAACCAGGGATCAGTCTAAAAGTCAGTGATCCAAATAGAGATTATGAAACATGTGCAGTCTCTGATGTAGGGATTCAGTGCATTAATGCTGGAGAAAATATGAAATATGGAGAGCAGCTGTTTTCAGACCAGCTGTTAGGCTTCCCCCTGCAAAAACCAAGGGCAGGAGATAGGCGAGAAACTGAAAAGCCTGACATTGACTTGGAAGATCCAACTCAGAAAGGTTATTATGAGGCATTACTGTTAGATAAGTGCAATACAGAAGAAGCTTTACTGGCAAACTCCAATCAGGATTGGGGTTACTTTGAGACTTTTATTAGTGAGAGTAAGATTGAACTACTTGACCTCTGTTCCAAGAATGAACTGTCTGTTAACCTTTTCTCTGAAGAAGATGTGGATAACTATATGTTCGATGATGATGAGTCAACACTGGGCAGTGATGTCTGCTCCCTCAAAATTCGATACGAGTCCTTTCAGGACAGTGTTCGAGATAAGACCACCCTTCTGATGCAGGAAGATGCCCAATTCAATTTTTTCCCCAGTGTCTTTACTACATGTCCCAAGAGGGAATCTAAGAGTGGAATCCTCAAGCAGAGCAGCGATTTTTCTCAATTCAAGGTCCCTGATGTGAGCATCATCTGGGGAGAGGAAGATAAAAACATGGACAAGAAAAAAGACAAAGAGGAAGTGCATGAAGACAAAAGTGTAGAGAAAAAACCTGAAACGGATAATGAAGAAAAGCCTGAATTAAATAATAAACCATGCAGTGGGCTTGAAGTAGAGCAATTTAAGAACCTAAAGCCGGACCATCTTACTAGTTCCCTGGAGACACCAGGAACTTTCAGTGATGATAATTCCTTCATTGAGGTCTCATATGATGCCATGGGGGAGATCAAAGACTGTAGCCGCTATATGTCTCGGGAAACTAATTCTGGAAGCTCATCCTCCCAGCAGAACTATGGACTGAGAGCCAAGAGAAAAGTCAGATACAGTGAAGATTATCTATATGATATTGACTCACTAGAAGGAGAAAAAGTAAATGAGAGAAAGGAATGGCTTCCAGGTGGTTCGAAAGAAGATGATGATGATGAATGGTGTCCCAAAAAGAGAAGAAAAGCAACCCGGAAGGAGCCCCCTGTTATTATCAAATATATCATCATCAATCGTTTTAAAGGTGAGAAGAACATGCTGGTGAAGCTAAGTAAGGTAGATGCCAGTGAGACAACAGTAAATTTGAGTGAGAATCAGCTCAGTAAGTATGCCAAGTTAGCACCTTTGAAGGGCTTCTGGCAAAAGAAGAAAAAGCAGAGAAACAGCAACACAGACGCCATCAAAACACCCTTATGCCAGAAGCAAAGCTTTGAACCAGGTAACTTTGAGGTGTCATTCCTGCCACCTGCTCGTAAACGAAAATCTAAGCTTGGCAACAGACACAAGATTCAAAAGATCCAATCCATGGAATCTTCAGCAAGCAGTAAGCAGGTTTCATTCTGCAGTGATCAAAAACAAGCTAGTAATCACAAAGAAGAAGGCAGCTTCAAAGGTACACCAAAGTCAGCACCTCTTGCTGCTCCAAGCTGTGCCAGTGGCTCACATTTAGGTGGCATCATAGTCCCTGACTCAGTCAAAGTCAAAACTCAAGACTCAGAGTTTAAGGGGCCAGAAAGGAAAGTGCTCAACAAAATTAAATTTAAAAGTGAAGCTAGGTTAAAATCCAAAAAAATCAAAACCGGACAAGAAAACAAACCAGTTCAAATGAGCCCTGTCTTAGAAGACCAATCCTCCAAGGCTGATTTAAAAAATGAAGTCATTCCTGGAACCTCAAACAGTTCCCATCTGTCTGAATTTCACGAGACAAAGGTTAAGAATTCCACCTTCTTACCAACCACCTGCTCTTCTGAAATGCCTTTATCTTCTGCTAATGTTGCCACTAATATACCTGTTATCCCTGGAGGGTATCTGCAAACACTGTTAGATGCTTCTGACTTGTCAAATAATACTAGTATCTCATACTTCACCAGCCATTCTCCAGATCAAAATGAAGCCAGCCTTGCTCAAATGGAAAAATCATTTGTACCTCTCCAGTCTTCTCAGGACTGTGTGCTGTCCTCATCTTCTGAGTCTGAGCTGCAACAATCATCTCATGACTTCAAAATGGAAGCAAGCAACTATGGAAGCATGTGGTCCAACAAGGCTACATCTGGCCCACAAGAGTTCATGACTGAAGTCTCAAGGGAGATCGCCACAAACCAATCTGATGAATTCGAAGTGTCCCAAGTAGTCTCCATGGAGAATAACCTCACAACTCTAACATACAGTCCTGTCTGCCTCAACAGTGTCAGCAATGATTGCAACAAGATTCTGTATGCCTCTGTGCAGGACTCTCATCTCCCATCTGATGACTCTTATCAGTTGTGTCACTTTAATAACGGAGAGCTCTGCTTTCCTTTCCAGCAGGCTCCACTCAGTACAGACGATGACAGCCGGCTCTTTAACTTTGATTCAATGACTCCCTTTTCTGTCAGTTCAAGCAATTATTGTCCCTTAAGCTTGAAATCCTGTGAAAACGATGGTGATGATGAGATCACTGATGACTTCTTGGCCCACTGCAGCCCGAAACTGGTGATCCAGCAAAGCATTGATGAGATTGCACCACTAAAAGAGTCCACTGACCTCCTCGATATCTCCAACTTCACTCCTGACAAGTTCCGCCACTCTTCCCTCTCAGAAATGTCTCCACCGGACACACCCAGCCTTTCTCCTCAGAGTACCAGATGTGAGGGTGTCAAAACACTAGGAACCATGAAGGCATTCCAAGAAGGTGTCCCAGGATCGTTGGGCAGCATGGAGAAAATCAAGTGGGACTGTGGTACCCTTTCACAACAGGTCCATGTGGATGATGCCTTTACAGTAAATAACCATCCGTTTCAGTTCCATATGTTCAACGATGAGGACTCTGTTGGCCTGCTCCAAAATAACCCTTGCCTGTCAACCTTTGACGAGTCAGCTGGGCAAATCAGTGCCAACAACAAAGTGTCAAAAGCAAGAAAGAAAGTTTCACCTGGCAAGAGTGGGGCTGTGAGCCAAAGTTCTTCACAGAAAAATGCCAAGAAAAAGTCCCCCAAAGCCAGCAACAAAGGGGGTGAAAAGCCACCTAGCAAAACCTCCCGCCAGGTTTCTAAATCAACAAAGAAAGGGAAACATGTGGCTGCAGTCAATGGAGAGAAAATGCAGACTGGGAGTGGCCATGGTGGGGGCCAACCCAACAGCACATCCTCCAGTGGCAAGACTGAATGTATTCAACATGGTGGGCCTGTTGCCCCTGTGAAGATTCCAAGTCAGAAGGGACTTTCTGGAGACTGGGCTTTGGGAAAGGAAAGCAAGCCAGCCTGGAATGACATGAGTACAGTCACTAATACCAACAACCTTCTGGATGATGACCAACGGGAATTTCAAGAGCCTTCCTATATCTTGTCCAACATTGCCTCTGGTATGGCAGATGTGCAGAGATTCATGATGGCCTCCATAGAGCCCCTTTGGGAACCCATGGACCAGCAAGGGGAGTCCAACACATTCTACTCCCCTGATTCCAATAGCCTGAAGTTAAAAACCCTCAAAATATTAGCTGGTACACCACAAGAATCTAAGAAAAAGGTTAATAATGGGTCTTCAGGAGCTTCTAAGAATCACAAATCAGTCAAAGGTGCGAGCAAAAGCAACGGGAAAGCAGCAGTTGCTGATCCTGGTCGTGAAGACATGCCTGGCTACAATGAGGACTCTCAATCTGCCTTCTTTGATAAAAAGCACAGTAACATGAGCACTTCAGGCAATAATGGACCAACACACAAGAAATTATATCGTCACAAAGCCAGCTCCAAGACCCAGCGAGATGAGAAATATAAGGGGAAACGTGTGGAACGAGAACAGGTCCACAAGGATGAGGCTGGCACAGCTTCTTTTGAAAAACTGAGGTAATACTGCACCAAAATGGCTAAGAAGAGATGTTTCCTTGACTTTCCTACTACCTGCTGAGTCCAGAGTTCCTCATTTTTCCCTCTTGAAAGCAGAAGTTTGCATGAGAGACTCTTTCCTATTCTCTTCCTTTTTCAAATCAAAAAGAAAAGAAAAACGTGCATAGAAATCCCTGTTCCTTTAAGCCACTCAAAATATCGGCCAATTTTGTTGTGGTTAGGCTAGGGATAAGTTCTAACAGAGGCTACATTTTCCTCCTATTCTGCATTAATTATTGCTTATTAAAAATAGAACTAAAATATGCTCTTGAATGATTTTTGGAATGGAAGGGCTTTGCAATAAAGACAGATTCTGAACAACGTAATCAAAAAGTCATGTAGACAAAAAGCCAAGATCATTTCAACAAAAGAGCATTACTTGTCAACACACGGCAATTAGGAGTACTTTCTCTATCATTCTGCATCAGACGACATCTAGTATGGTGTCAATGTATTTATATGGTATGATCCCTTTGTGGACATACACTAAAACTTACTAAGATGGCGTAAATTCTTTGATTTTTTTCTGCAGAGATTCCAACTACAATCTCTTAAAAGCAGAAAAAGCATTTGGGGTTTTACCTGTGTTTGAAGAAGAGACTCACATTTTCCAGAAAGACATTTAATGTTTGTGTTTTATTTCTTTCAAAATAAGCTTTGTGGTATGTATGTTGACCTGTAAGTGCTTAAAGAAAAACTTAAATTGTGGGAATAAGTCTTTGAAATCAAACTTTAATCTGATGTTCTGTGTAAAAGACTTTAAAAGTCATACAGTTGCACAAGTAGTTTATGCACTGTTTGCCCACAAGGAAAAAATGGAAAACATTGTGCCAAACTACAAATAAGTAACTGTACTGTATATAGTTTTACTTCTATATCAACATTTGGTTGTGAGTATTTGGGGGGACTTGTCCCTGTTAATATACTAGAAACATTCCAGTGGTTCTTGCTATTAAGCACCCCCACTTTTGTGGCTAGCACCTGTAGATCACAGTGGAAACATATGTTGTGTTATAAAAATTACCAAAACAAAGGAAAATGTTTGAATTGTGCCAAATCTTCTTACCTCATCTCCCATATTCACCCCATCATCAGTGATTATTAAATCTATATGTATATACATGCTCACACATGTGTATACAATATGCATGTGTGTTTACATACATACACACATCCATGCATACATTCTTTTGACTGTTTTAAACTCTACTATCTTGTGTGGAAACATGAACAATTAAGCAAGGCACAATAAAGATTTGTTTGTTCCTAAGTCTAAGGATTAAAATGTTGGAAAGGCTTAAAGGTCACAACAGCTAAGTCCATTAGGGACAGAGTATTTGCATTTACAGAACCTTGTACAAGGAAATAAAACAGCTGCTTTGAAAGTTTGTTTTCCAAAGCAAAATCTGTAGCGGAAAGTAATTTAAAGTGCAAAGTTATATTGCGGATACTTTATATCTCAGTTTTATATATTTTATAATAGTCTGGGATAAATTATAAAATAGCTATAGAATTGACACTAATAATAAATGAAATACATAGATTGCTTTTATTTAAGTAGTTTCCTAAATGTTTTATTCCAGTTTTGTCAAAAGTGCACTCACAACATGGCTTTAGTGTTCTTTAAATGTTGAGCTTGCAAAGCCAATGTCATTTTTAAAAAGGACATTGCAGATTGACAAAGTTTTTCTTCCTGTGTTTAAATACATATAGATCAGGTAAGTTGAACAATATGTGGAAACAACCAATTGAGGCCATCTATACATAGTCTGAGGATGGCTACTCTTGGATACCTTATAAATAAACATAAATCTCAAATTTTAATAATTTTTAAAAATCACATTTTCGGTTCAGCCTTCCCTTCCACTACCTTGAAAAAAACTTTCACAGTTCCAACATCCCTCACTACTAGCCTTTTCTTCCCCTTTTTTCACCACTTGACTCCTAACATTTGCTCTCTTTTCCTTGCACAGTTAAAGGCCTATATGCCCGATGACTGATGCACTGTGGCACAGATGAGATAATGGATGTGAAAGCGCTTTGTAGATCCTAAGTGCTATACCAATATAGGGGATTAATATTATTAATGTTGTTGGTTGTTGTTGTTGTTACTATTCTTACTAATATTGGTACTAACCTATTAACTTGTGAATATAGAGGCTGGGGTGGGAGGGAGGAGGATAAGTGGGTGGGGGAAAGGGGAACTTAACAAAGCAGGGAAAATGTTTCAAAAGAATTTTTTTGAACAAAATAAGAGCAACCTACCTAGTCATTGACACATAAATCTATTCACAGAGAAGCAACGTTTTAAAGTAGAGAGAAATGGAAGGGAGCTTATTGTGTATATAAGTATATACATTTCCCAGTCCATGATTCCTTTCACCAGCTTACTCTACTACTTACAGCTAGGTAGTAAAATGAACAAGCCCATGATCTAGATTGTGTGTGTTCATAACATCAGTCTCTTTTTGTCTGTGGGGATGAGTGGGTGAGGAGAAGTCTGTGAGGAGAGTTCAGGCACATTCCTAGGCTTTGACACTGTGTGCAGTGAGCCCTAGAAAATTACTTAGTGGCAAAGCACCAGCTGAAACAAGTCTCCTGCCCTACACAGCCATCCAAAAGAGAAAATAATCAAACTAGAATACTTTTTTCTGTTTCTAGATCCTTTGATAGCTAGCTATTTACGTGAAATGCTATGGCTATATCCTAGGAACTGGTCTTTGGTTTTTGTTTTTGTTTGTCCTGTTTTGCAGCTGAATTTTTGCTTGGAATCACCAACTCAGCCTATATTGTGATCCCCAAAACTCCAGACCTCAAAGTCATCTTGCTGGCTTATAGGAATGGAGTGCTTTCGATGTAACCAAAAAGTGGAAATTAAAAAAGAAATAAAAATTGTTCTATGAGTATAATGTGTTTTTATAAAAGTAAATATGGGAGCAGTTGTCCCAGATTTTTTTTAAAAGCATCATGATGTTCAACTTTGGAGAACTGGGTAAGGATAGGGTAGCATAGCTTGAAACTGTTGGAAACAATTTCCTTTTCAGAACCTTATCATTAGTCCTTTGGAGTGGATACTCTTTCAGTTGCTCCTATGGAGACCACTAAGGGTCAAGTTTAGGACATGGTTCTTATCTTTCTCCAAAGAGAACTGACATTTGAAAGCACCTTCTTATCGGCCTGCTGTGCATTGTATGTTTTTAATATATAAACTAGTGATTCGTAACCAGTCATGTTGTACTGAAACCTAACAAGAAAGTGAATTTGAGAAGGGAGCAATAGACCAAGGCAGAGATGTTCATTGTCTTCACTATCCTATGCTCTGCATTGTTGAGCACTTCGCATTCTGTTGGTCCTGTCTCTGCTCTCAGAATTCTTTTCTTTCTGTCATAACATAGTAGGCCAAACTTACTGGAGAGCTCTTATTCAACCAACTGCCTTAGTGGAGTGAGGACCAATGGATGAAAAGAGTGTTTTGCCCTATCGTTGATTTCTTCAAGTCAAAACTCCTGGATTTTCCTTGGTCTGAAATTTCTGACTACTCGCTTCTAACCTCTCCTTTCTGAGAAGCTGCTTCCTATTAATGCCTCCTCAACAGAGTCTCCTTTAACCTTTCCTTTGCTGAAAATTATATCCTCTGTTATTCTTCTTCCTTAACTTTCACCAGTCTTAGAATTTTTCTTCTTGTATAGTATTAGATTCAATCTCCCAAATTGATAGAATCTAAGAACTTCAGCTAGAGACTTTCTTCTGAAAGTTTAGAGGGCTACCTTCCTAGTCTTAATCACTCAAAACACACACACACACACACACACACACACACACACACACACTTGAGAAAAGTTGGAAACTGCTTTCTCTTGAAGATGTATAAGAACAGGTCCAATCTCCTATTGTGGTTAAGTGCTGTACTACATGGAACAAGAGTGCAGATACAATGGCCCCAGCCAAGGGTCTTCAGGACTTTGAAGGTTGTATAGGGACCTGAATAAGTAGCTTGAACCTGTAACCACCCTCTATGCTTCTCCATTGTCTCAGATATCATCTGCTTCACATATGCTGCTTCCTCACAGCTTTCCCTACTGACTTCTTGCTGCTCCGTGCAATTATGTGTTAAGGCCTTATCTTTTCCTCAGTTTTTTTCAAATTTCCTGCACTACTGTGTCCATCACTTCCTTAGCCATCTCTCTGAAGTCCTGGGTGCTAGGTGGGCTTTTGTGACAAAATTTTCACCTTCTCTGACTCCTTTCTTTGCTGGGAAGAATCATCGGGGGGCGGGGAATACAAAGGAGGGTGTGTGTGTGTGTAAGAGAGAAGCATGAAGGATGCTTCAAATGCTGTAATCAGCTCTCATCCTGTATTATTTCACATGAGTTCTTGCAGTTCTCGTGAATTTCGTGTTTACTGCATAAAGGAGAAAAGCGTATCCAAGGACCTCTTAGTCAAGCTTGCTCTTCCCAAACTGAACTAGTGTGATGGAGATGCACAATTTACAGATTCTCCCAGAACAGTTCTGAGAAATAAAAAGAGGCAGAGCCGAGTTTCTTTACTGAAGAGGGAAATGGAACACTAGCTAGTTGCTAGAAGTAGAAATGTTTGTTTTCTCCTGTATGACTGCAAAGTTGTCCAATTTAAGCAGTTTTCTTTTTTATTTGCAGAGTTTTTAAATGCTGCCAATCATCACAAAAATATCTCCTTTTATAAAATAACACCAATGTGAGTTTTATTTTCTAATCATAAAATTCACTAAGCCAACAGTTATATTTAGAAGGCTTAGTACCAAAATCAAACATTTTCATGACAAATAGAGGTCTTGTCAACATAATGTAGGCCAGGGATTTTATAAATATTTCTCAAAGACCCAAGTAAAGGAGAAAAAAAATTAGTTGGGCAGTTTAATTTGGGAAACACTATCATCAGTGTGAGAGTCCTCAACCAGCATGGGGTTGTTTTGATGACTATGCAGGCTACCCTTCAAGGCACATTTTTCACTCAAAAGTAAGCAGTAGCTACAGTCATGAAGCAGAGATCCCGTTGCAGCTATATGATACTTGAGGTGTACTCTTGGTCTGAGAATCATAGCTAAGTGATAAAACACTGGGGAAGGACACTGTAAGAGAGAGGTTTAGTAAAAGTTTTAAGGAATGAATGAGGCTTTTAAAAAATCAGTGTTTGGGTAAATGAATACTAAAGATAGTTTGGGGTAAATAAATACTAAAGACACTAAAGAAACACTTACCCGTATGATATGGAAAGGATGTCTGTCTATCCAACAAATTCAGGGCTTTCTGAGTCTCAAGGACAGCCCACTGAAAATGAAGAAAGGTTACCAGGCATGGTGGCTCATGCCTGTAATCCTAAGCAGAAGGATTGCTGAGAGTTCCAGGCCAGTCTGGTTTGTGGTATGAGATCCAATCTGAAAATTTTTAAAAATTAAAGAAAGGAGGATGAGGAAGGAAGAAAGGAGGGAAGAAGGGAAGAAAGGAAAGGAGAGAGGGAAGGGAAGGAAGGAAGGAAGGAAGGAAGGAAGGAAGGAAGGAAGGAAGGAAGGAAGGAAGGAAGGAAGGAAGGAAGGAAGGAAAAAGGAAGGAAGAAAAGAAGGAAGGAAGGAAGGAAGGAAGGAAGGAAGGAAGGAAGGAAGGAAGGAAGGAAGGAAGGAAGGAAAAGGAGATACTGAAATCATTCTGCCTCTTTGAGCAAGTGATGCCTGGTTTTACAGCACAAAAGAAAAGGCTTGAACGAAAACTAAAAGGGGCCTTTTGTTTTTCACTCCCAGGGAGGTAGAGAGCTTCAGAGTCTCCACTGGGATAGCTGTAGCACTGTCTGGAGTTTGCTGCCTCCAGAGTATTGAATGTACTTACTAGTCTTTAGTTTCCATAGAACTGAATGCACCTCTTCAGTAAGTGAAATGCTTTATGGTGCTAAAGAAAATGATTATCCCCATTTTTCTTCTGCCCCATGTCCCTTAAACATTTAAGAAAAATTAAAGACATTTAGAGGCCCCTTTTATGAATGTAACCTGTTTCTGTTTGACACACGACACTGCAACTTTAATGTTAGGAAATTATTTGCCTTTTTCTTTTAGAATTAAGCTTTATAAATAATCTGTAGAGTCAATTGAAGTATAAAGCTTAAGGATCACTCTTAAGACGCCTACAAAATCTTGTATATTTTTCAGTGTGCCAATTTGTAACATATTTTGTAAGTGTATATTTTTCTTAGAAAAGTGATGTGAAGTGTCTGTATGTGAGAGTTCTCCTTTTTCTGCACCACTGAGTGCTAATAAAAGGATATTTACTTCGAAGTTTCTGGTTTTAGAAACCACAATACAAAGAAAATACACTTTTGTTGGGAATTTTGTAACAGAAAATCTGTTGTGAAAGAGTGTAGTGATCTTGTGCAAAAGAAAATGAACTTTGTGAGCTTCTTGCTGTTTTATAGAATTTCTTGTAAATTATTCTTGTAACACCTCTGGTTTTGTTGTTCTTGTTGCAAAAGTTTTAAATATTTGTGACTGAATGTATGGTGAAACTGTCATAATGTTACCTAGATGAGTTTTGTTATTGTTTATGGAATAAATAAAAGTTTAAAATACAGCTTTAGAATCATATGTAAACAGAATTCAAAACATTTCTAACTGAATTCATATCTTAAATAAACAGTTCTTAGATGTCTAGAGCAGTGTTTCTCAAACTGTCTCTGGCAAGAGAGCAGTTTTGCTTGCAGTCCATCCCAGAATGTTTTAAGACAAAACAAATGAATTTCAGATAAAGTAAAATGGAGAAATAGGCAAAATAAAAGCCCACGTGTACATAGGTCAATGTGTAAAGCTATCTTTCAAAATAAGTGGCAAAGAGAAAAAGAAAAGAATTACAAAATATTGGTATCCTGTTTGAGTACAAATACACTGATCAATGTCAAGTTGCCATGGGACTGAAACATGTTAGCACTTTGAATAAAACCGACAGCATTGTCATCATTTGGAACTTGTTAGGAATGCTGAATGCCAGGCTATTGTGCCAATTCTGCTGAATCAGAATATTAATGTCAGCAAGATCCCTAAGTGAATTGTATACATGGAAATGTTTGAGAAGCACTGGGTTAGAATTTTGTGTGACCCTCAAATTTTGGAAATATTTTCT